AGTGCATAAAAATTTGAACTAGGGAAGGCCAAAGAATGAGGGAGGATTGGGTATTCAAAATTGAACTAACTAGGGATGCAAGACTGCAAGAGGGAAGGTTTTTTCTCTTTTTTTTAATTTTGAATGCATAAAAATTTGAAAAAACGAACAACAGTTAACCGGTTACATCGGTTCGATTTCGGTTTGGATATTTAAAAAACCAATCAGGTCAATTCGGTTAAAAAACCCCACAGTTCGACTAACCAAACCGTGAGCACTCATAGTTCCCAATTCACAGGGGTAGTGTATTATGGGCAGACGTGGGCAGAAGATCCTGAATCGTTAAAAACTCAATGTTTACAGGGGTATTTTACTGTAAAAAGGAGATAAGTTCTTAAAATAAGGAATGACAAATGCAGCCTCAATGAGTTAGGATGAAGGTAATAGAAATATATTCCATTTAGGGTATAAACAAGTGAAGGTCCAAGAAAGGAGAGGAAAATCTTATGAGTGTTATTGTATTAACATTTATTGCCTTTTATCTTCACTTTGTCCTTTAAATTTAGACTCTATGTAAGTTATTTAGCATATTTTCAAATGTTTATTAATCCTTAGCTTTTCCGTTGTGCTTCAGGGTTAGTTTAGAAAAAATATAAATACAAATATGTACAGTATAAATTCATACAAAATATAAGGCTTTGCACTCTACATAAACTCTTTCCAAACTGAGCATTATGTGCAGAATGGTAATCGACCGTCGTCTGCAAGCCATCCACCCTTGTTTATAGAACAGCACCCTAAACCATATGCAACTTCTAAAATAGGGCCAACCTTCTTTTCTAGTTGATGTGCTGCAACAAGGCTGCCCACACTATTATTGCTCGTCAAGTTCTATCCATCTCTCGTAAGCATGTGTGGTGGCATGTGGCTTGTTGATGTGTTTCACTCAGATAGATTTGTAACTGAATAGGTTAATTTGTCTTTTGGCGTCAATAAAAAAATAAAAACGAAAACGAAAAACAGCATTTTGAAATGGGTTGTTACCCCTATTTTTAGCCTAAATATCTTTTCCTTTCCCTGTTCAGCAGGTTGTAGAACCAATGATAAGGTTTCATGTCAATAATAAGTTTATAGGCCCCACTATGAAGATAGTGACCCATATATTTAAATATTAATGTGGAACATTATCATTAGTTTCACAGCCCACTAAATAACTAAAGCGTTCAACTAAACCTTAATAGCAACTCGGGCAGTTTAAACTAAGTTTAGGGTTAGGTTAACTTATACCCAACCCAAAAAACCAGAAATCCAGTTCAAGGGAGGTTAAAAATATGATATCGACCCCAGGCCCAGAAATTGTTAAACCCTAACACCTCGCGAGCTGGGCACAGGTAGGCTAGGTAAGTCTTTGACTCTTTGTCAGGATGATTGGGCCTATGCATCATTTTCTTACGAAAGCTCAGAATATTCCGGTTAAAGGTTCTGACAACCTTTTGTGTTAAACATACTGCTCTTTATAAAATTTAACCTTTTGTATATAAACATACAGTTTAAAGGATTTTAGCCTAAATTTTTATAACCTTTATTTATGTTCAAATATGTATGGGCATGCAATTTAACCTTTTAAATAAAAACATACCGCTATTTTAGCAGTCTAATCGGATACAAAAGGAAAATTAACTAAAACCTCCCGACTTCACTGATGAAATGACATCTAAAACTTCCCCAATTTTTTGATACATCAAAACAACCCATCATTAAAAGATTTTATGAATCATATGCTTCTCTTCTCTTAGGTGACCCAAGTACCCAACCAAGGTGGCCCAACCATAAGACTTACGACTAAAGCCCAATCCTGGACAGAGTTCGTGGTAAATCCTGATCTACCTGCCTTAGGCCCAGCCCAAGCAAAAATTTAGCACACTCATACTGGGCTCACTCTAGAGCAGGATTGGCGGGCTAGTTCGGCTTAGGTGGGCCTAAATTGAATCTAATGTATTAATAGCAATTAGCAAAGCACAGAAAAATGTACGCCTGAAATACTAGAGAATAGTTAGGAGTTGGTACCAAAGGTTAAACATGAATTCTTTTGGAAAGCCCAAAGGCTGTTTCACCAATGTGTTCTTCCACTGTTAAACTTTTAGTATTTAAACCGTTTCTTACCACTTCTATTAATATCCTTTTTAGTCTACCCCTAACTATTCTAGCCCCTTCAAGGTGTAACAAATCACTAATAATTGGAGCTACAGATGGTCATTTATGCACAAGACTGAATCATCTTAGTCTACTTTCTCTTATTTCATCATCTATTCGAGTTGTTGCCTAGTTAGTCTAACCCAAGAGGGGATGAATTGGGTTCTAAAAGATTCTCACCCAACTAAAACCTTCTAAAACTTAGAATGCAATTAGCACAATAAATAAACAAGTAAACAATTGCATGAAGTAAATAATACAAAGATTTATAAAGGTTCTACCAAACCCAAGCCTACCTCCTTTCCTCAAACAATCTTTTAACAATTTCCACTAATTAGTCAGACTTTTAGGTGCCAATAAAACCTTACAGCAATTGGACTTTTGCGTGTCACAAGACTGGAATGAAGCTCAATAACTTGAAAAGATATGAGAAATCTCAATGAAAAACAATTAAACCCAAAGGCTACACGAGATTTTCTCGCTTGTATGAATTAATTTAGCTTAGAAATCTCTTCCTTTCTAAATCTCTCTTGCGCAATATGCTCACATTTTCACTGATAAAGCTCGAGGTTTTCAATCCAAACACACTAATTTATAATGCTTGAGAGTATACGACCATTACAGATTCATTGAGAAATGATTAAACCAAACTTGGAAATGTTCAAGCAATATCCTAACAAGATTGAAGACTTATCAGAAGTAATCGACCATTACAAGTAGTCGACTACTATGCCCAGAGAGGAATCTCTTTTCTCTAATAGTCAACTGCTTCCTCCTAATGGTCAACTGCTACCAAGTACTTGCTCCCAACTGTGAGACATAATCAACTATGGATTTTTTATAGTTGACTACCAAGCAATGTCTAAGTATCCCTAGCCTCGCTTGTCACAAGTAATCGACTATACCTTCGTGGGTAGTCGACTATTGGGTGACACCAGTCTCTATTGTCAAGGATAGTCATGTACTACTTCAAGGGCAATCGACTACCAATAGTTCTCAACCTTAGAAAGTTTGATATTTTGATTCTAGAGGTTTGGAAATCACTTTCTTAGGATTCCAAACTTAGATTTTTCTTGCTTAAGCCCATGTGTGAGTCTAGAAACATCTAAGAAATAAACCTAATTCTAGACATTGGTCTCTAAGATTAGGTCAACTGAGTTTGGTCAATGAACCCATAGAGTGCATCCTTTTGCAAATGATTACATCAAGTCCTGAGAAAATGACACACAATATAAATAACTAGAACTTGATGCTTATTCCTTTTTATTCTTTCTTGTTGGTATCATTCATCTTCCTTCGAGAGTGATTGGTTAATAGACAACTATTCAAATGCATTTCATTCTAAGATGATTCTTCATAGTAGATTTGTCAAAAATTTTAGCATAATAGAAGTACTTGGTATAGTTAAACACTTACCAGCATTTCATTAACACTTTCAATGACTTTGTTATCATCAAAACACATAAGGTCAATAGGACCTACTCCTAGGTTGCTACAAATGACTTCATTCTTAATCCTATCATTTCTAGTTTTTCTACTCATCCATCTTAGCATCCGCACTTCCACCACACTCATCATTTTTAAGACATGGTGTTTCTTGATTGTCCAACACTTTGCTTCATACAAAATAACTAGCCTTACAACTATTTTATAGAATTTTCCTTTTAATCTGAGTGGTAATTGTCTATCACACAAAAGTCCAAATGCACCCCTCTATGTTTCCCATCATATTCTAATTTTTTGGCTAACATTCTCCTTAATCTCTCCCTTGTTATGAATTATTGAACCAAGGTACTAGAAATGGTCACATTAATTTATCTCTTTTGCTATCTAATCCTAAGTGTATCTTGAATTACACTTCTATTATTACTAAATTTCAATGTCACATACTCTATTTTAGTCTTACTTATTTTAAAATTCCTTGTTTCTAAGGCCAATGTGAGCTTGTCTACAATCAAACAAATTAATTGGATAAGTCAACTCGTCATCTTCCCAAATATCCAGGTAGGGTGGCAAATGGGTGGGTTGGGTTAGGTTGGGTGAGGGTTGAATACCAATCCACCCATCTTGACCCACCAACCCAGCATGACCCATCATCAATGCTTGTTAAAGGGTCATAACCCACCCTAACCCTGACCCACCCATATTGACCCACTTGACCCATTCATATGACCCTTGCCCACCCTCACCCATACTAACCCACCTACCATTGCATATAAATACATAAACGGGTCGGGTTGACCTGTATACCCTAAACAACACCTTTTGAGAGAATCAACTCTCCTGAGACTGTCAAGTAGTATATACGGGTCAGATAGACCCATGTACCCAAAATTAACCTTTTCTTCTCTCTCTCTCTCTCTCTCTCTCTCTCATATAATCTTAAAATATCAGGTTTAATGGTGTTCCGTGTAATATGCCGAACATCAGAATTCAGAACACTATGAACATTTTTATTTCCTTCATGCTCTACATATGAGAGAGTATAGTCATGCTTTATTATTGCCATTGCCATCACTTCCCTATATGCAACGTCATCAAATATGCGAGTCCTACTTCGAGGACTACGGGTCTCAACTATCCTTTATTTACATATTTTCATACGTCATCTCAAATTGGATGTGCCATAACCAAAATCTATAATGTATGTTTTCTCACAAAACTTGCACTTTGCTTTTGGTTTCCCATTGTCATCAATAAACTTTTCAAACCTCCCCCCCCCATACATTTGAAAAACCTCTTTTTCCACTAGTAGAACTTGAGACTTTTGACATTTTCAACAAAATCTAGAAAAAACATGCAAACATACAATTTAAGTGTATGACAGAGAAAAAAATACATATTTCATATTGTAAGTGTATGAGAAATAAGAGAAATAATACAAAAATAGCATTCATTATATGTAGCAATGAGCAAAATTAAGTATATAGCATAAAGACATTAAGTTGAAATTGACAATAAAATCAGTTTGTGGCATAAGTAAAAAAAATTATGGATAGTGCTGATAAATAGAGATAAATTCCCTATCCCAATAAGAGATAAACATGGGATGAGTTAGAAATATAAATACTTTAGAAAGATTTAAGAGAGTATTTAGATAGGGGGAGAGGTTGAAAGATTTTAGGACGATTTTTAGGTAATTGGGAAGTAAGGACTACTATGAGCAAGGAGAGACTTGTTGAGAACAAAGAAGGATGACATCGTTGTCACCTTCTTGGTGCTGTTATGAAGAACGAATCTGCCAAACTTGGTGTTGTTATAGCATTGTCTCTGCTGCTAGATGCATCATTTTCACCTTGACAACCTTTTCTCCAAGTAAAGCATAGGCTTCATTCAAAACTCTCTGCCAAATGACATGCTAAGATAGTGTTATATCATAGTGAAGCACTCACAACTCTACATCAAGAAAAAAAAAGGAGAACAAATCCCATTGAGGATGACAACTCTAGTAGGATGATAACTATCAAAAGATGAGGGTTTCCTTGAAAAGCAAATCCAAATTCCTTGGATGTCAGTCAGGGCAATTCTAATAATTTAAGAGATGTATCCCTAGAGGTTATCTCTGGACAAGAGAAGCAGTTATATTAGGGACAAGGTCGACTCCAATAAGCATAGCGTCAAGACAGTAACAGAAACAAAGTTTTGAATTCCCATTTCTTGTGACCTTTCCAAACTTCAAAATTTAAATCACTCATTGAGTAAAAGATTAAATATGAAATATTTACATTGTGTTAATTTTAACTTTCAAATTGGAAGCAAAATAAAAACTTTTCAAATTTGAAATTTTATAAAACTAGACAAAATAGCAATACAAGCTAGTGCATAGAGCTTATATGAATTAGGTGATTGAATGATTGAACTCGTGATAGGCTGAATCGATTAAAACAGGGTTTATAATGCAAGGAAGCTTCCTAATTGGCGTGTTTGTCCATACTTATGATTTTGTTTTTTCTTTTAATCAAATCCTAACCTCTCCCCGTCTTCCCTAAGTCTGCCACAATGTACATGAAACATTCCAATGACAATGGTTGCTCATGAACCAAGCACAATTTCCATTATCAAAGACAACAGGCTTGGGCAAGTCTCATCAACAACAAAGATCTTAGCATATATTAAATTAAAATGGAAAAAGGATGCCAATCTGAATATATTTTTCGAACCCCTAAAAAAATTACATGCAATTATTGAAACCATGTTCCCAACCTCTGCCTTTATATATCCTCTCTCCAAGAAAAACTCCGTCACAAGCTAGTGTATAGAGCTTATATGAATTAGGTGATTGAACTCATGGACAGGCTGAGTCGATTAAAACAAGATTTATAATGCAAGGAAGCTTCCTAATTGGCGTGTTTGTCCAGATTTTTTTTTTTATTTTAAACAAATACTAACCTCTCCCCGTCTTCCCTCACCGCTCCCCATCTTTAGTTTTTTATTTTTTTTATTGTTTTTTTTTTCATGTTTCTGAAGGCAAAACCAGTAAATGAAAACCTCAAGAACTTTTGACCCTGGTTGCTTCAGTGGAGGAACTAGCATGCTTCAATGTCAAAACCAGCAAAGGTTTAAAAAAGATGAGCAATGTCAAAAGATTTACCAATCCAAAATCTCTTGGTTGCTTCAATGGCGGAACTAACAGAGAGTTGCGCTCCCCTTAGAACTACGAAAAATTTTGATGGCGAGTGGCTTGAAACCCTAACAACTTTTGACCTTGCACTTGATCTGATGACTGGAACAAAGAAAACCTTAAATGGATCTTCGATGGTGGAAGTTTGTTCTACTAAGAACTGAGAAAAACTTGAGATGCTTGTTTGACAGCTGACTCTGCAACTTCTCTCTCGACCCTCTCCCCTTACCCTCTCTTAACCCTCTCTCGATCCTCTCCTTGACCCAAGTGACCCTAACCCTTTTGACCCAATGGGTAGCTTTGACCCAACCCACTCTAACCCTCTTTTCCTTGACCCTAATGGTCATTTGACCGATATAACCCACTATTGAGATGGATAGGTATGGGTGGGTTGGGAAGGTTAGAAGGGTCATGGTCAAGATTGCCGCCCCTGTATCCAGGTCCATTTTACTCCCAATTTGTGTGGGTGTTCATTCAAAGCATTTTGTTTAGAATTGTGGGGGTATTTATGGTCTTTCCCATTCCCTACATAAGCAACCAATCTTTGATGATTTGAATTAGAAATTAATAATGTTTCACCTCACTTGACTCTATTGAGGGGGATTTTAACTCCTTATTAAATAATTATAAGAAAAGAGTGGTAGACATTTGCATCATTCTCAAAGTAATATCTTTAAAGAGTTCAAATCAACTTATGCCTTGTTGACTTAGGATTTAAAGGTACTTGACAAAGCCCTTGTTACTCCTGCATGGATACATTTCTTTCTATTAGTTTGGCTTTAGCATCTATCCAATGTGAGGAGGAGTGACCTTGCATAAGGTAACTTTATTGAATTGTCTCTATATAGAATTATCCATCGGTACCTTTTGGGCGACAACCTTATTAAGCTTTTCAGAAATGAGTATTGTGTTCAAATTGCATCACCAATTGGTATAATTTGGTCCTTTGATTTGATTGTCATCTAAAAGTCCAACAAAGGGTCAGTGTGTCATTTGTACAAATTCCATGAAAAAAATAATTAGTCCACAACCTAGTATTATTTCATAGTATTGACTAATGTTTTAAAAAAAAACCCGGAACTAGAGCTGTTCTAGCCACTGGTTTACGGGTTGATAGTTCAACTGCCTAGCTCGAATGGATGGCCCATTCTAATAAAAAAAATTAAAATAAAAAAATGACCAAAAAACATTGAACAGGTCAACGATTTGACTACCCAAGTCAACAGGTCGTTGACTAATTCAATGGTTTTGGCCAAGGATTGGGTTTGGGGTAAAACGAAACTAGTTGCCTGGATGGTTCCCAATCTGAACGGTCCAATCGTCTGAGTTAATGGCATTTCGAAAACATTGTTGTTAACCATCGAAAGGGATTTCATCTATGTTCCATTCTCATTTGTTCATCTTTGGAAATGTGAGAATTTGTATAGATGCATTAAACCGATTGTTTTAGCTACATAACCCCATCACTTTTTGTGAATGATCATAAATCCTCTAATTTCTCATGAGTTTCCCCTTTAGCCTCCATTAATCAAGGTTCATTGCCATTTTACGATAAACCTTTATGACTATTAAGTTTTGACTCATCATATCAAGAGCCCCAAAGTACTACGATCTTTCATTTTAGGATAGACCCCTTGGACTAGTCTATGATGCCCCTATCATCATATGAGGTGATTCAATTAACATCTATAATCAAGTAGATAATCCAATTTTATGGTGCATCTCTGTTCACTGCTTAAACCTATTTTCACACTATTGACGAAAGGCTTTTAGAGATAACATCCAATGATGATTCCTATCATTATGCACTTATATTATTCGTGAGGAAACCAATTTTAACAATCCTTGACTTTGGGCCCATTGAATCTAATATTAGTTTAAACATTTAGAATTTCATAAATTAAATAACATATAATATATGAAAAACATTGCACAAGTCTAAGCTTGGTTGGACTTGGCTAGAGCTTGGGCTTATGGCCTAAAAAATAAGGTATGGACCTCATTTAATTCTTAGGCTTGGTTTATTTTGGCTTACTTATCCTTCTATAAATGAAGGTAAGGTGTTCGTTCCCACTCTTAAGCAACTCTCATAATTGAGTTGACTCGTGTTGGCACATGCGTTAACATATACAAATATTTATTAAATGTGATACATAATGTACTCTATGATGATATAAAAATATTATATTATATTATATTATATTACATTTCATGTTGGGTCAAGCTTGGAATGTTGAGTCCAAGCTTGGCCTAAAAATTTATGGGCTTGATGCAAGCCCATACTAGGTCAAGTTGGCACACAAGAAACCTATGCCCAAACCAAGTTTTCGAGGCTAGGCCAAGAATGATCACCCCTACCATATGTCTCTAAGATCTAGGGCATAACTGAAAATTGCTTCATATTCAGTGTTTCTATAAAAACCCACTAAAACAAATTGCTCCACCATTTTGGCAATATATTAGTATCAACCTTGTTAGGATAAATTCCCCAAATTTATCCAATGGCCGAAAACATTGTAAATTAGCACAACTCTCATAAATGTCCAATGTACAAGGTAATAAATACATAGAGAAGATACCAATCGCAAACATAGAATAATAATAATTAGATTTTATTAATTCATAAATCTCAAAGTACACCAGTATGATTGGAGCTAAGGGCATGCATTGTGTAATAAGACTCATATGCCTTTTTATTTCATTGCCTAATTATTCACCATATATGGTTTGGATCGCCAATAAGCATGGGAATTGATGCTCACTTAGTAATAGGCCCTACAATAAAATCAACTTCACTTCCTCAGGTAAAACTTACTCATCTCCCAGGTAAGTAACTTACTTTCCCACCTGTGGGAAAATTTTATAAAACATAATAGAACAACTTTGTCCATTTTAATATGAACTTTTATGGGTAAAAATGTCATTATGTCACTTACCTAGCAATCCTAGGAATCAAAGGAGTGTAGACTAATAAATTTAACTAGGTAAATGTTACCCATGAAACACTTACCACGGGTAAGTTACAAAATTGCAAATAAACGAGGCAAAGTGGGGCCTCAATGATTGGTTGTCTTATTGGGCAAATATGGATGATCCATCTTCAAAAGATTCTATTTCAACGTTTGCCTGTTGTGCAATAATTATTTGAATTATCTGGAATTAAAGAAAGGTGCAAATTGGTTATGGAGAATGTTCCTTTGGCTCAATTTGGAAGGAGTACAAATAACTGAGCCTCTTGATCCGCAATATATTATTAACTAGATTTGTACTTCTTTTAGGGACCTCAACTTTATTCTTGATGTTGTTCTAGTCCCTACCTGGGTCCACATCACTAGGTTTGTCCTTCTATTGACTAGTTGATTGTCAATTTTGATGGGGCAGTGTCTTCTTCTCAAGCTAGAGTAGGTGTAAGGATGGCAATTTTCCCCATTTCCCCAATCTCTATGGGGATCTTGTTAGACAGTTTTGTATGCCCTTAGCTTCAATCAGAATGATGTACTTTATGAGTTTATTGTAAATGAATAAAAGTGCATATTTGATTCATGTTCC